ACTGGCCAAAGGTCAATAAATATCCCCTCTCTCAGGGCAACACAGAGAGTCCATAAGTGACTCCTAGCGCAGGGCAGTACATCTTACTGACCAGGGTCTACAGGCAGCACACAGGTCTCAGGGCAGGGCGGCCTAAGGCCAGAGTCAGACAGCCCTTGGTTCTGGGCTGTGTGGCCAAAGGGTCTGAGTCAGTAGGGATGAGGCAAGTGCCCTGGTCGGGGGAGCCAGGTCCACCCTGCTCCATCGGGTACCAACCCAGAGCCCTATGAGGTCTGCCGCCCCCACAGCGGAGAATCGGACCAAACACGCCGAGTATACCTGAGTGGGAGAGGCTGCTCCTGCACCCTCCCTGGGTCACTTCCTACCACTTCTGTCGGGTCAATGTCCCATGTAGTAGCTGGGTCTTTCAGCCAGCTGGCTGCAGCTTCTCCCTAGAACTCTGTGAGGGTTACGTCATGGCCCTCTCCTGGGACTCCAGTTCCCGCTAGCTGAGTCACTGGCTGCTGCAGCTCAGGAGCTCCAGGGGGAGGTCCTTCTCCTTTGCTGGCCAGCCCAGACTGAGCTGCTCTGCTGCCTTTTATACTGCCCCAGCATTTGGAGCATGCCCAGTCTGGGTGAAGGGGCAGGTCTTCCTCCATCCACAGGGTCTTAGCCCCACCCACTTCAGTGTGGGGTATGCACACCCCATCACAGATTCCAATCCAAAGCAGAATCCCCCATGTGTATTCCAGCAAAACAACTGATCTCACAACAGAACATCACAAGAAGCAACTGCATCTCGAGCAGGTTCATCCTGTGGACCAGCCACCCCTCCTGCAGACTGTGACAGTGGCCAGTTATACAAAACGAGCAAGACGATAGAAGTAAACTCACTGTCACGTGAGCGGTACTGATACAACCCCTTGAGCCCATCAATGGTATTTATTCCATTGGACACAAAGGTGTGAAGCTGGGACATGCCTCTCTCCACAGGAACACTGGCTCCCTGACAAGCCCAACCCACACCACGATCCCAGCAACTGGGAAGAGGGAGGGAAGCCACTTTGGTTGCTGGAGGAGAAGAAATCTTTCCTGCCCTGCTTCTTGCCGCCTGGGTGCTACGTGTGGGCAGCAGCAACTCATAGGCCCACCTTTAGTAGACCGTCTTACAACCCTAACAGAAGCTTAGATTGCGCAGAAATTATTGGCATCGCACAGGAAACTTTTCAACCCCTGGATGCAAGAGGCCAAGAAGAACATCCAAGACCTCACTTGTGTATTCATTAGACAAGAGTCCCTCTGAGCTCACACCTGGGTGGGTTACAGGCCTGGGCTCCATTCCTCTTCTATCTAGCTTGTGCTAAGAGAACATTGAACAGCTGGCCCAGAGCCAGCTCCACACCCCAAAGACCTGGCTTTTATCTCTGCAGACTCTAGTCGCTGGTAAAGCCCAGAAGAGCTAACCTAACAACTTTGGGATTTAAATGACGCGCTAGTTGTACTGCTCCTAACCTGACCCACCTACCCAGTGATTACCTGTTTAATTGTCACCCGAATAGCTCTTTCTGCCTATGCAGCCATACTACTTGAAAGCTACAAGTACATTACACCCCATTCAAGGGGAGTAACGCACATAACACACGAACACCACTAGGGCTGGCTGAAAAGGGCCCCTGTAGAGCCAGAAACCTAGAAGTGCAAGGATGCCACAAAGTGACATTTGTCCTTCCACTCCCACTTCTTGCCCAGTCTGTTCTTCCTAAGGATGCGCCGGAGAATTGGGGCCTGCGAGTCTGTCCTTAGAAATGCTGAGCAGTCAGCACTAGGCAACAGCCTGAGGCTCTATAGATCTCAGTGCATCTGGAACAATCCACCTCTCCCTGTGTAAACCAACAGCCAGCCCAACCGGAAATCCTAGTACATTAGCCACACCCATGCTTTCCTTTGGCTGCAGGTGAAACATTCCAGCTAGTCTGTGCCTGTCAAAACCCTCCCTGTACCTAACCTAGCCCTGTCCTTAAACGTCCTACCAGGGTCTTCTACATGCACATGAAACAGGGCCCAGCCCAGATTTTGGTGGGATCCCAGCAGGTATTTGCACACTGTGATTAAGGACTTGGGGTGACTGTAGCATTAGCCCCTATGGTTTTGTTTCCATGCTTATTCCAGCTGAACTGCTTAGCATTCAAAAAGCATCTTTTTTGCCCCCAGTGTTTCTTGTAACTAGCTTTTCCTTACCCTCGAGCTGCTCTTCTCTTCCTGTGTTGAGCTGTTTGCTAGAGTTTACATGGATTTCAGTGGGTTGAGTAAATAAGATTTGGTCCCAGGTTTGACTCTGGATAATAAAAACCAAGTTGTAACCCTTAAATCAACTTTCAGCTAAATCAACAGTTCACAGAAAGTGCCTGGATGAGCCACTGTGGGTTTGGAGGACAGTGTTTAAATCACAGTCTCTCTCTTTTTATACTTAATTAATAGACTGTGTGTCAGACTGACTTCACTGCTGCAAATCCAGGCCATTGTACCTTTCATTAGCCATGTGCATAATACAGCTGGCCCCCGAGTTACGAATGCATCGATTTACGACCGTATTTACGACCAACCTCCTATACAGCTGGAACCCGAGCTACGAACGAAATCCGCACTTACGAACAGCACGGCCGTACGTCAGTTAATGTAATCCGACTTATGAACACATCGAGTTACGACCAAATGCTTGGAACATAACTCGTTCGTAATTCGGGGACCAGCTGTATACAACCTCATAGACCGTAGTAGACACATAAAACTGGGATGCCACATGATTGCTTTTTCATTAGGGAAAAATGATGGCTCAGGAATGTATTCCTATCAATTCAGCTGCTTTGGACATTTTCACAGATAGCTCCAAAGTTATGCACAGACACACTGGGGAAAAGCCGGAAAAGAGCGTCTAGACTGGCGCGATCCTCCGGAATAAAGCCCTTTTCCGCAGGATCTCTTATTCCTACTTCCCAAGCTGGAAAAAAAGCGGCGGCCGTGTTTATTTAAATCCCGCGGGGGATATTTAAATCCCCCGCAGATTTCCCTATTCTGACTTGCCTGCTTTGCATGCCTATTCCGTCTTATGTGGCCAGTCTAGACGTAGCCATCGTGTTGAGAGGCGGGTTTTTAGTTTGGGGGGTTTTTTGCTATCACTCATAGAGTCAAATCCCTTTAAGATCAGTAGGACCAAATGGCAGGGAACAGGATATCAGGAATGATCTGCATAAAATGGCACAGGAACAAAGGAAATCAATGTCTATCCCTCCCACAGGAAGAGGTGATTAAAGGTGGGCTGATGTGCAGAAATACTTCACAGTTCCACCCGCTTTGTCTGTACCTCTCCTTCATGCAAGGGTTGCTCCAGTCCCTTCCCCAGATCCCCTAATCTCACAGGAACCAACCAGCCAACAAAGCCATAACGCTCCAGGCAGGCAGCAGCATGCATGGAGAGGATTGCAGCACAGCTTCATTACAAGAACAGACATGGGGCCAAGGCCCAGTGCCCGTACTCGTAAGTGAAGCAAGCAGGAATTGATCTACTGTATTACACAAAGCCATACAAAGCAATTTTTATGTAATAAGAACTTACAAATGTGACAAGTTTGCACCCAAAGCAGTTTCAAACTGAATGGCCAGCCTTGCTCCTGCTGGTGCCACACCTGCGGAAGCTTCGCTGGCAGGGGGTAACCTGCAGCGCGGGAGTGAGGATGGCGTGGTATGATAGCGCCACTCTTACTCCTGTGCTGCTGCTGGTAGGATGCTGTCTTAAGAGCTGGGCCACTCTTAAGTGCAGAAGTTATAGTAACAATACCACGACCCCCCCTCCAAATAACCTTGTGATCCCTGGGCAACTCCTTTTGGGTCAGGGTCCCCAGTTTGAGACATGCTGGTCTTTTCCTGTGAAATCTGTATCGTATAGGGTAAAACAACACAAAAGGCCAGGTTTCACAGGGGAGACCAGATTTCATGCTCTATAAGATTTTTAAAGTCCCTGTCTTTTCTTTTCCACTAATTACACTAATCTAGATACATCTCCAAAACAAACATTTAACAGCCTTCCAAGCTAGCCAAGCCTTCATCCCTGCACCTCGCTCATACAGCTTGCAAGACCCACTTCCGTAGAAATAATCCGTTATACAAAAAAATCAAGAACCAAACCTCCAAATGCTACACCTTGAACCACAAAGAGACAAACATCTCTCAGTCCATAGCTGTCCTGATCAATGTTCCTGCTAAGACACATGCCTGTGCAGCTGTGCACAAAAAATTCTTTCTGCACTCACCTCCTCTGGAGAGCTGCGCAGCAGCACTCATGCAGCTGGCAGCTGCTCTGGCGGGCGGGCGGGCTAAGATGGAGTGGTGAGGGAGCTGCTGGAGTAGGGGGCTGGGACCTGCCATGGCCGCGTGGTGGGATGGCTGGGGCTGCCATGCAGCAGTGAGGGTCAGGGCCTGTTCTGGTGGTGGGGCTGGGAATGGGACCTGCCGCATGGCGGGGGCGTGTGTGTCTGATCCGGTGGCCAGGAACGTGTCTGTGTTCATAATGTGGATGCCACACATCCAAACCAATGCACATTACCTCAATACTGGTGCACAAACCAAGCCTCACTTCGCTCACTGCTGGACACTCTTCGAAGGGACACTGGTCCTGAGCCCTCACTAGTCAGCCAGGAACTCTTCCAACATGGGAACCACCTCTCTGGGGTCCGTGAAAGGGTGTAGTGCACAGAACAGGAGAGTGCTAGAAGGGTCACAACAGCTCACCTACAATGTGCGCAGATGTGCATGCACATACAAGGACGTACCTATTCTGCCACTAGCCAATCACCAGGTCAGCCTAGTTTCCTTCATTCTTGGAGTAGAGACTCAAACATAAAAGGAAGGGAACTGAGCTTTCTCCTGCTAAGGACTGTTGGCGTCTGACTTGAAAACAATACAGGGGTGGAGACCAGACGTTCAGGGACTAATCTGGCATGGGAGAGACAGGAACACACGCCTACCTGGACACTGGAGCAGAGCTCGCTGAGCCTTTCATGGGGAATAAGGGACTTTCCAGCAATTGCAAGAGCCAACAGGTGGGGCGTGGAGGGGAGCCTGGAGGCGGGACTGTTGCCTCGATGGTTTCCTGACTAGCAGTGGCCAGGACACTTCCATGAACAATCCCGGGGCACAAAGCACCACACCCTGCACCCCCGTTCTCTGCCCCCTC